CCCTTTGTGATATGGAACCTTGTAATTCAATTTCATAAAGATCCATACATTTACACACAAGTTATTGTCCTGAAACTACAAAAATGCTTGTTTTTTGCCCCTTTTTGGCCCCTAATTCCTAAAATATTGAGGCAATTACCCCCATCATCAATCCCAGCCTTCCCTTTGTGGTATGGTACCTTGCAGTACAATTTCAGAGAGATCCATACACTTGAACACAAGTAATTGACTGGAAACTAGAAAAATGCTTATTTTTGGCCCCCAATTCCTAAACGTTTCGGGCAATTACCCCCAAACTCAATTCCAGCTTTCCCTTCATGATATGGAACCTTGTAGTACAATTTCAGAAATATCCAAACACTTACATACAAGTTAATATTGTCATGAAACTAAAAAAATGCTTGTTTTTTGGCCCTTTTTTGGCCCCTAATTCCTAATAATTTGAGGCAATTACCCCCAAAATCAATTCCAGCCTTTCCTTTGTGATATGGAACCTTGTGGTACAATGTCAGAGAGATCCATACACTTACACACAAGTTATTGTCTGGAAACTAGAAAAATGCTTATTTTTGGCCCCTTTTTGGCAGCTTATTCCTAAACGTTTTCGGCAATTACCCCCAAACTCAATTCCAGCTTTCCCTTTGTGATATGGAACCTTGTAGTACAATTTTAGAAATATCCATACAGATAGATTCTGGCACTGAAATGACCAATTATGTCGAATTCGAGGTATAAGTCTAAAATAGAAATTATATGATTTGGCTTCTTTGATTTTCTTGTTTTTGACAAGAGTCTGAAGGAACTGCGACTCATATGGAAATAAGAAGTTTATGCAGTCTAATTACAACAGAAGTAAGTCACTTTAAATGATATTTTTTTAAAGCTATCTCGGGTAAGCGTGATAAACAGTTCGAAAGAAAACACGGAAAAAAACTGTATTTACGAAATTTACACATGACGGCAATCATTATAATTTTATTCATTTTATGCGTTCTTCCAGATCGTCTGTGGAAACAGTGTTTGGCAAATATTTATCTACGAGCTCCAGCTCTTCAGCTTGACGCAGATGGAAGATTGATACTAATCGAGAATATCAAGAACGAGAAATATAGAGAATAGAAAATATGCAGAACTTTAAGATTTAATTCAAAGTATAACTTTAAAGTCTATGTTATATATTACAACTGTATGTGAGCATTCCAAAATAAATGTTAACATCTGCAGACTATAACACTGTATAAATGTCATGCGTTTAATACTATATTCTATATTTTGTATGTTTAAATTGTCTCTTTCTGCGAACACTCTTCTGTGATAAATTCGTTGAATGTTTAAAATTATTCAGATCTTATTTAAATTCATGTCTTTAATAATTATTTGAAGAAAAAAGTAAATGAATTCTGCTCACACGACAAATTCGATTGCTTTAAAATGTTCTGTTGTTACTTATGCACACTAAGTGGTTTTCAACGCTTTATTACGGAAGAACATGAAGAATAATGGAAACATATTTATGTTTGCACATTTCACCATAGCTAAACATCATTCGTTCTTCGTTCTACATCAGTCTCAACTCTGAGCATATATTTTCAAAAACTAATTCATTATTTATCTCATTCTCAATTGTCAATTTATAAAATGTTTACTAATACTAAAGCTGTCATTTATCTCCTTCTGGAAGGATTGATTTTTTTGTTTGATGCTCTTCTGTTTTTTATGAGTACGCCTTTTCAAATATTATGATGCCAGTTAACACTATGATGATAGTTCCAGATACTTGTGAATAAACTCATCATAGATTCCAGGATTTCTATTTTGTACGCAAGACGCGAATTTCGCATACAAAAGACTCATCAGTGACGCTCGAATCAAATTATTTAAAACGCCTATACATCCGAAACGGTAAAGAAATTTCGTCGAAATAATCGTAACGTCATCGCGTTGCTGACCGTAAAACGTTATATTTTTTAGGGAGTTTTTCACTACCAAATAGGTAACAAAATGATTATTAGACAAAAACGAAGTCGGTGACGATATTATTATTTCATATCATTTAAACGGAAATTTATGTACCAATAACATACAGTTTTTATAAAGAAAAAATCTATGTACTAGAAATTAGAGATTTAATGATTTTAAGACAAGTTTAAGAAGGTTCATCGCCGATTGTATGTGCTTTCTATATAATTGTTTACTTATTTTGAAAGAATTCAATCAGTTTTATTTCAGATGATAAAAGTTGTATGCAAAATTTTAACAAAATCTGTGAGATATATAAAAATAAGGAGATGTGGTATGATTGTCAATGATACAACTATCCTCCAAAGTTAAAATGAAGTGGATGTAAGCAATTATAGGCAACTGTACGGCCTTCAACAATGAGAAAACCCATACTGTATGCTTGGCTATAAAAGGCCCCAGAATGAAAAATATGAAACAATTCAATGGAGAAAACTAACGGCCTAATTTATAACAAACAAATTTACGAAAAAACAAATGACAGACACATAAAGAATGTGGTGGTGTTAAACATTAGTGAGTGCTCAACCCTCCCCTAACCTGGGACAGTGGTGTAACAGTACAATTGTAGTACCGTGAAAGTACATATGTGTAATAGTTAGTATGGTTTTTTATTTACTGATAACAAAATCAATATTTATACCAATAAAAACAATGTTCAAAGATTTAATTACCTTGTTAAATAGGTAACCTTTTAGAATAAGTTTATTTAATGGATTGATAAGTTTTCCCGGATCGTATTTAAATTTCCGGGCTTGGTTTGCAATATCACCGTAAAATTTAGGATGTGCTATTCCGTTTGAAATAAGTTTCTACAGGTACATCTAAACTTGCAGACCAAATCATTGTATCTAGAAAGATTTTAGTAAATGTTTTAAGTAATTTGTGGTAACGAAATCCCTGACTTAATCATTTACTAGTAATTATAGATTACGCTCATTAAAATCCAAAACGTCACTACAGACACGAGGATAGAGAACGAATAGGGATATAAACACCATAAGACAGTGACATAGGAACATCACCGTCCAAAAAAGGAAAATTAACAATCGGGAAAGAAAAATCATCCATTTTGTTGTAATTTATTGTGTAAGAGTTTATGACGCAATACTGAAATATCTAAATCTAGGAAAGGCCAGTTATTGCTGTTGATATTAGATTTTTTAAAGTAAGTTTCTTTCGGTAAATTTCAGCAGTATAGTTCGAGAATTCTTAATAATTAAACAAAAAATATCACCAAGATAACGGTAAGTGTTCATAGCCCATTTACTGTAACTTGACCATAAGACCATTTAAGATTAAACTATTTAATGTAGAGATCTAAAATACAGGTAAATGGTAAGCAAAATGATTTCTGTGAAAGGGATAAAAATCAAAACAAAAATTAATGCGCAAAATTTTATAAAATTATTTCAAATGATATATACTGAATGACTTTGAAAAACGCAACACTCATTTTGTTGATTTTTTTCCCCACATCATGTTTGATTCTCAAACAACTACTATTAATGCTTACCATACTTCTTTCTCTTAAGAAAAAATCATCATCTGACTTACTTGTGGTTATTGAACATACCGGATTTTTGAAGTCACACGAATTTCTTACAGCGAAATTTGGAACCCATAAAAGATTTTTTCAGTTTGTTTTGCTTCGTTAAACAGTTCTTTCAATCCTTGGCCACACTTAAATCAGTTAAAAAATGTTGCATCTCCATATTGGCAAGACTGAGGAATAAAAAACTGAATCAGCCCATAAGAATACTGCAAACAGGAAAACGTGAACGTGCTGCAACCATACAGTTTGACTTCAGAAACTCGTCTTACTGTCCTTCCGACAACGATACAGGTAGACGGGATTTGTTGCTGACCATCAATGACCAGATCAACATGTAGTGACAATGCAACCTCAATAGAATTTGCGCAATGTCATTTGCAAGACATGTTTACGGCCGCAACATCAACTGCTTTTCAAATTGCTGAATGCCATTGCGCACAGATTCATGCCATAAATGTTTCCCATAAACTGAACTGCCAAAGAATCGACTGAAGAAAAACATTTAAAGCCCTGAAGTTTCAACCGCATAATTGCCAAAACCCATTGTAATGGGTGGAACAAACGCATATTCAGAAGGTGTAAAACAGAACCCAAAACTTTCTGACAATCATTTTGGCGTTTGTTACAGGCAGTCATTGCATTTGACAGTGCCACATTCATTCAAAAATTTAAAAAGAATAATCTAGTGTTGCGTTTCTAACGTCGGTCAGTATATTCATATACCGAAGTAGTTGTCGAAAAATAAGTAGGTCAGTTAGCACTATATTTGCGGATATAATTTGCACAGATTTGGACTAAAATTGCTAGTTGTGGCAAAATAATTATACATACATATATAAGATGGCTGAAATGCAGAAAACTAATTTGGAATACAAGTGTTGTTGTTAAACAAGATTATGCTAACAAGTATATTAAATGTAGATAAAAAACAAGAAAAAAAAACACATCACTAGTTAATAAATTTAATATGGTATATAATGTATCTGCATAGAATGGGTAACGTCAATTCTCAATTGAATAGGATCGTATATAGACAAGTATAAACCAAGATGAAAAAGTTCATATATTTCTCAATGTTGTTAAATATTCAAATTAAAAGAAAGGAAAGTCGGATTGATTGATGTCCCCTTATTGCCGAGCGACAAATACTACATTCATAGTAAACATGGTAAAGTCGAAAACATAAAGAAACGACAAAAATGTTATCTGCATCGTACTAAACCGACACGGTTGACCAAAAATTTTAGATATGCTAGCTCACAAGCTGAGTGTCGTAAGTTCGATGCAAAGCGCAAATTTTTAGGATACAGATCTAGAAGAAAGACTGGTTGACTCAGAGTCGGAATTATATGTCCTTATATGTTATATTTATTATAAACTTTATCTATTTTTTGCCAAATTGATATTTTATCAAAATATTTGCGTCTAAAAAATAATAAAATGCTCCGCAGGGCGCAGCTTGATACGACCGCAGAGGTCGAACCCTGAACAGTTGGGGGAAGTATGGACACAACATTCAAGCTTGATACAGCTTTGGATTTGGATTGTGATTAAATATTTGACACAGCATAGGTTTCTAACACAGATTGAATGTGGTCTAAGAACTTAAAAATTTTAAATTGGACATTCACCTATTATGGTCCAATATCCAAAATCTAAATACATGGTTAGATTCAGCATATTAAAGAACCCCAAGAATTCAATTTTTGATGAAATCAAACAAAGTTTAATTTTGGACCCTTTTGACCTCAATGTGGATAAGTTGATAACGGGGCCCAAAAATCAAAAATCTAAATACATGGTTAGATTCAGCATATCAAAGAACCCCATATATTCAATTTTTGTTGAAATCAAACAAAGTTTAATTTTGGACCCCGATTTGGACCAACTTGAAAACTGGGCCCATAATCAAAAATCTAAATACATGTTTAGATTCAGCATATCAAAGAACCCTAAGAATTCAATTTTTGTTAAAATCAAACTAAGTTTAATTTTGGACCCTTTGGACCTTAATGTAGACCAATTTGAAAACGGAACCAAAAATTAAGAATCTAAATACACGGTTAGATTCGACATATCAAAGAACCCCAATAATTCAATTTTTGATGAAATCAAACAAAGTTTAATTTTGGACCCTTTTGACCTCAATGTGGACAAAGTTGATAACGGGGCCCAAAAATCAAAAATCTAAATACATGGTTAGATTCAGCATATCAAAGAACCCCATATATTCAATTTTTGTTGAAATCAAACAAAGTTTAATTTTGGACCCCGATTTGGACCAACTTGAAAACTGGGCCCATAATCAAAAATCTAAATACATGTTTAGATTCAGCATATCAAAGAACCCTAAGAATTCAATTTTTGTTAAAATCAAACTAAGTTTAATTTTGGACCCTTTGGACCTTAATGTAGACCAATTTGAAAACGGAACCAAAATTTAAGAATCTAAATACACAGTTAGATTTGGCATATCAAAGAACCCCAATAATTCAATTTTTGATGAAATCAAACAAAGTTTAATTTTGGACCCTTTGGACCTCAATGTGGACCAATTTAAAAATGGGGCCCAAAATCCAAAAACTAAATACACGGTTAGATTCAGCATATTAAAGAACCCCATGAAATCAAGAATAAAACCCCATTGAAATTGGTCAAGAAATAAGCAATTTATAGGAAGTATCTTCTTTTGCACAATCCTGTGCTATTAAATATTTCTTGCTATTGCGCAATACTGTACAATTGACAATTTCTTGCTATTGTGCAATATTGTGCTATTGGATATTTCTTGCTATTGCGCAATACTGTGAAATTGAAGATTTCTTGCTATTGTGCAATACTGTGCAATTGAAGATTTCTTGCTATTGTGCAATACTGTGCAATTGAAAATTTCTTGCTATTGCACAATACTTATTATATAATAATTTACACATCCTGTTTGGTGTGTATCTCCTACCATATCATTATTATTTGCTTTTAAATATAAATCAGAAATAACCAACTTAAAATGGAAAATTTTAAAAGAAACAAAAAAGGAAAAAAAGAAAAAAAGGAAAAAAAAATAAATCCCCCCCCCAAAATTTTTTGAACCCCCATTATGATTCATCACCCCCAAACTCAATCCCAGTCTTCCCTTTGTGGTATGGTACCTTGCAGTACAATTTCAGAGAGATCCATACACTTGAACACAAGTTATTGTCTGGAAACTAGAAAAAAATGTGTTTTTTGGCCCCTTTTTGGCCCCAAATTCCTAAACGTTTAGGGCAATTACCCCCAAACTCAAACCCAGCTTTCCCTTTGTGATATGGAACCTTGTAGTACAATTTCAGAAAGATCCATACACTTACACACAAGTTATTGTCATGAAACTAGAAAAATGCTTGTTTTTTGCCCCTTTTTTGGCCCCTAATTACTAAAATTTGGAGGCAATTACCCCCAAAATCAATCCCAGCATTCCTTTAGTGATATGGAACCTTGTGGTACAATGTCAGAGAGATCCATACACTAACACACAAGTTATGTCTGGAAGTTACAAAAATGCTTATTTTTGGCCCCCTTTTGGCCCCTAATTCCTTTACTGTTATTACCATAACCCCCAAAATCAATCCCAACCTTCCTTTTGTGGTATTGAACCTTGTGGTAAAATTTCATAAAGATCCATTCACTTAAACTAAAGTTAGAGTGCGAAAACCAAGTGTCTTCGGACGACGACGACGACAACGACGACGACGACGACGCCGGACGACGACGACGCCAACGTCATACCAATATACGACCACAAAAATTTTTTTGCGGTCGTATAAAAACAACACGTTAATAAATTGATGCGTCCGAAGTGCTTTTCTTGATTTACCTTCATCAAGAATGCTCAAAGCCAAATATTTGAAAGCCAAGAATGTATAAGAACCGAAAAAGTTGAGAAGCTATATGACCAAAATCACCTAAAAATAGCCAATTCAATCTAAGGTCAACCTTGCTTGAGGGAGTTGAGACCTTAGTTTTTCCATAATTTAAAAATTTATAAACGGACAATTTAAAAAAAAAGTTTGTTATAAATCATGTCAGTACCGAGGTACTGACTACTGGGCTGATGATACCCTCGAGCACTGATAGTCCACCAGCAGAGGTAATAAAATGCTCCGCAGGGCGCAGCTTGATACGACCGCAGAGGTCGAACCCTGAACAGTTGGAGCAAGTATGGACACAACATTCAAGCTTGATACAGCTCTGAATTTGGATTGTGATTAAATATTTGACACAGCATAGGTTTCTGACACAGAATGAATGTGGTCTAAGAACTTAAAAATTTTAAATTGGATATTCACCTATTATGGTCCAATATCCAAAATCTAAATACATGGTTAGATTCAGCATATCAAAGAACCCCAAGAATTCAATTTTTGATGAAATCAAACAAAGTTAAATTTGGACCCAATACTGTGCAATTGAATATTTCTTGATATTGCGCAATACTGTACAATTGACAATTTCTTGCTATTGGATATTTCTTGCTATTGCGCAATACTGTGCAATTGAAGATTTCTTGCTATTGCGCAATACTGTGCAATTGAAGATTTCTTGCTATTGTACAATACTGTGCAATTGAAAATTTCTTGCTATTGCACAATACTTATTATATAATAATTTACACATCCTGTTTGGTGTGTATCTCCTACCATATCATTATTATTTGCTTTTAAATATAAATCAGAAATAACCAACTTAAAATGGAAAATTTTACAAGAAAGAAAAAAGAAAAAACCCCTCCCCCCCAATTTTTTTGAACCCCCTTATGATTCATCACCCCCAAACTCAATCCCAGCCTTCCCTTTGTGGTATGGTACCTTGCAGTACAATTTCAGAGAGATCCATACACTTGAACACAAGTTATTGTCTGGAAACTAGAAAAATATGTTTTTTGGCCCCTTTTTGGCCCCAAATTCCTAAACGTTTTCGGCAATTACCCCCAAACTCAAACCCAGCTTTCCCTTTGTGATATGGAACCTTGTAGTTCAATTTCATAAAGATCCATACATTTACACACAAGTTATTGTCCTGAAACTACAAAAATGCTTGTTTTTTGCCCCTTTTTGGCCCCTAATTCCTAAAATATTGAGGCAATTACCCCCATCATCAATCCCAGCCTTCCCTTTGTGGTATGGTACCTTGCAGTACAATTTCAGAGAGATCCATACACTTGAACACAAGTAATTGACTGGAAACTAGAAACATGCTTATTTTTGGCCCCCAATTCCTAAACGTTTCGGGCAATTACCCCCAAACTCAATTCCAGTTTTCCCTTTATGATATGGAACCTTGTAGTACAATTTCAGAAATATCCAAACACTTACACACAAGTTATTGTCATGAAACTAAAAAAATGCTTGTTTTTTGGCCCCTAATTCCTAATAATTTGAGGCAATTACCCCAAAATCAATTCCAGCCTTTCCTTTGTGATATGGAACCTTGTGGTACAATGTCAGAGAGATCCATACACTTACACACAAGTTATTGTCTGGAAACTAGAAAAATGCTTATTTTTGGCCCCTTTTTGGCAGCTTATTCCTAAACGTTTTCGGCAATTACCCCCAAACTCAATTCCAGCTTTCCCTTTGTGATATGGAACCTTGTAGTACAATTTTAGAAAGATCCATACACTTACACACAAGTTATTGTCATGAAACTAGAAAAATGCTTGCTTTTTGCCCCTTTTTTTGGCCCCTAATTCCTAATATTTTGAGGCAATTACCCCCAAATTCAATCCCAGCATTCCCTGTGTGATATGGAACCTTGTGGTACAGTGTCAGAGAGATCCATACACTAACACACAAGTTATGTCCGGAAGTTACAAAAATGCTTATTTTTGGCCCCTTTTTGGCCCTTAATTCCTTAACTGTTGGTACCATAACCCCCAAAATCAATCCCAACCTTCCTTTTGTGGTATTGAACCTTATGGTAAAATTTCATAGAGATCAATTCACTTAAACTAAAGTTAGAGTGCGAAAACCAATGTGTCTTCGGACGACAACGAGGACGACAATGACGCCAACGTCATACCAATATACGACTGCAAAATTTTTTGCGGTCGTATAAAAAATAATAACAACACATTAATAATGTCATGCGTCCGAATCGCTTTTCTGGATTTACCTTCATCAGGAACGCTCAAAGCCAAATATTTGAAAGCAAAGAATGTATAAGAACTGAAACAGGTGAGGGTCGAAAATTTACATACAATGTTTACAGTTTCATTCTTGTAATATATTATCTGTTTCGTCGTACTCACATTGCAGCTATGTATTTATTGATCTTCAGCAGCCTGTTGATATTTCAATTTTGAACTATGACGACAACCTGGTGTTTTATATTGTATTATTACGTCATATATACAAAAGATGGTCTTATAAAGTAAATCAAACTTTTAACTGATATCTTATCATCATTACGATAATAAACACAATAAAGAAATAATATCTATCTTTTTCGAAATAAAACTATTGTATTTCATTTTTGAAGTGTGTGATTAAGATTAAATTATAGATGAATGATTCATTAAAATTAAGTCACATGGGTGGAAAAGAATAAAACCCTGTTGTGTTTTCTTGAACATTTTAACAGTTTTGTATGATACATGTATAACAAATAACTCATGTCACTTTTGAACAAATAGTTGATAATGCCTATTGTATTTCATTTTTGAAGTGTGGGATTAAGATTAAATTATAGATGAATGATTCATTAAAATTAAGTCACATGGGTGGAAAAGAATAAAACCCTGTTGTGTTTTCTTGAACATTTTAACAGTTTTGTATGATATAACAAATAACTCATGTCACTTTTGAACAAATAGTTGATAATGGACCTATCAGTTTTCTACTTTAAAATACGTGTATCTTACATTCGGGTCGATCTATGTAAATACCATTTGCAAGCAATAATTTATTTTTCTAAAACGGAGATATATTATGACGAATAATGAGTCAGCAATGTAACAGTGTAAATATCAACTAATAATTTTACCTTTTTCTTCCTGTGTTAAATTTTCCACTTCTAATGTTCTTATCTTGTCCTGCTGTACGTCTGTTCTTTCGTTCAATGTTCTCATATTTTCCTGTGAAATGTCTGTAATTTCTTTCAGTTTCCCTATCTGTTCTTTGTGTACAGTCGTATGTTCTTCTATCTCCACTATTTGATCACTGTGTTGATTTGTCTGTTCTTCCAAAGTACTGATCTTACCCTGGTGTTGGCCTGTGAGAACTTCTAATGTTCCGATCATATTTTGATGTTCGTCTGTTGTGTCTTCCAATCTTTCTATTTTTATATCATGCTCATCAACTGAAACTTCTAAATTTTCTATTTTGACTTCATGGTCGTCAGTTTTAGCATTTAAATTCTCAGTCTTGTAATCACTTTTTTCAGTCGCATCTTCCAGCGATTTGATCCTAACGTTTTGTGAACTGGTACTCTGTTCTAAAGTTTTAATGTACTGCTGGTGTTGTTCTGTAACCTTTTCCAATGTCTCTGTTCCACTTTTGCATTTGCTTGCTGTATTCTTTATCTCGTTGTCAAGTGACTGTATACTCACCTTATGTTCGTTTAGTGTAATTTTCAAATCTTGTTCTGCGAAAAGAAAACTATTCTTATTATTCAAGTACCGAAAATTATATTGGAGATTTCCTTCATATATTTTCCAAGAATGAGTGTTTTATCATTTGATGGGAAATTATATCTCAAAACTACATAAAACAAGAGGCTCTCAAGAGCCTGAATCGCTCACCTGTATTTCAGAGGAGAAGATTTTTAAATGTTAGCAAACTTGATGAACAAATTGTGTAAAATTGTCTTTAAAGGGCAATAACTCCTTAAGGGGTCAATTGACAAATATGGTCATATTAACTTTTTTCTAGATCTTACTTTGCTGAACATTATTGCTGCTTACAGTTTATTTATATTTATAATAATATTCAAAATAATAAAAACTGCAAAATTTTGTTAAAACTACCAATTCGGTGGCAGCAACCCAACAATTGGTTGTTCGATTAGTCTGAAAATTTCAGAGCTGATAGATCTTGACCAATTGAACAATTTTACCCAATGTCAGATTTGCTCTAAAAGCTTTAAATTAGTTTTTGAGATATAAGCCAAAAACTGCATTTGACCCCTATGTTCTATTTTTAGCCATGGCGGCCATGTTTGTCGATGGATCAAAACTTCGGATACAATTTATAAACTAGATACCCTTAGGAACATTTAGTTAAAGTTTGAAGGTATTTGGCCCAGTAGTTTCAGAGGAGAAGATTTTTGAAATAGTTTACGACGACAACAGACGACGACGACAGACGACGGACGACAGACGACGGACGCCAAGTGATGGCATAAGCTCACATGGGGCCCTGTGTGCCCCGGTGAGCTAAAAAATGAATGCTTAAAAAAACCACCTAAAATTTTAAATAAAAAAATACCAAACTGTAGTGATCAAAGTAAAACAGCTGAAAGACCTACTAAATTACAAAGACTAGAGCACTGTGAACCAAAAATACGAACAACTTTGAACAAAATCTTGGTGAAGGCATCAAGAAGCAAAAGTGAGTTTGAAGTTTTACAGAAATGGTCGCTTCTATAATATTTTATATCATCATAATATCCGTGATAAGCCTCACACCTGATGACTCTCGCCACTAAAAATTTTGCTGTGCTAGTAAACACCTTCTGTATCCTTTATAAAGTATGCATGATATCGTTAAGACACATTTTGAATCAGAAAGTCAAACCATTTTATATGAAGATTGATGTACATATATTAGTATATTATAGTTTCTCGCATCTATTTAAGTTTTAAGTAACAAATTCGAATCCAAGAGTCTTTTGCCTAATACAAAACAAGACTTGACATGCTGAAATGTGCCGCCTTATATATATATCATGTTTATTACCAAGTGAAATTTAATTGTATCCCAAAAATTAAAAAAAAAAAAATTGGACAGCAGTTTTACTCATTAAAAAATGTTACTGAAATTGGTTTATCAGCAATGTGATGAGGTCAAGTTCATGTTGATAATGTGTTCTTTACATTCTATACAACAATTAATGCTGACACAAAGCTTATCATAACCGAGAAAAAAGTCATAATACTATGAACTTTACGTTGATCATGAACTGTCATATCCGGTCAAGGTCAGGTAATCTGTCTGATAGATATAATGATATTCGAATATTCTATACACCAAATATGGTTGACCCTTTTACTTACAGTAATCACGAAACCAGTGGATTACGAAAAGAAGTCAAGGTCAGGTGAACCCTGCTAAATTGACATGAATACTTGATAATGATTCCATATACCAATTATAAGTAAACAAGAAATTGACAAATATGTTCCGATTTTATTGAAGCTTTAGACAAAACTAACAGTTGACTTATTAAAGTAACTGAGAAACAGGTGCGTAAAACATACATTACATTGACAAATGGACCATGAGAACTGTGTCAAGGCCAATTACAACCTGTGAAAGGAATATGTACAAAATTCTTGTTGCTCAATCTTTTTGTTGATCTGCACGACAACTTAAATCTTCCAAATATTACAATTTTGCATAATGATTAACTATAGCGGTCACCTATAGATGTTATCATCTATGTTTGAATTATGCATATTTTGACCGATTATGAAAAAAACAATTTTTGATTATTTCATGTCACAATACTACTTTAAGCAATAAAAAAAGCTGACATATGCATGACACCATAAAATCCAAACATATTTCAGACTAATCACGTAAAATGGACTAATTCACATTACATTGTTTTTCTAATCACACTTATTTTGAGCTATTACTTTTAAAGAATAAATATGTATGGTCTGAAAACTGACAAATACCTTAAACCCAGTTCAGTATGAAAGAAAAGAGCGTTTCAATCACTTTATTTATATTTGTAATGAAGCATGATTTACGTAAACAAAGGCAACAGTAGTATACCGCTGTTCGAATGCCAAAAATCGATTGAGAGAAAACAAATCCGGGTTACAAACTAAAACCGAGGGAAACACATCAACTATAAGAGCAAAATAACGAAACAACAGAAACACTGAAGTGAACAAAAAACAAACGACAATGCAACACACACAGAAATGAACTGCTAGTATAAGATAACAACTGCCATTTTCCTGACTTGGTACAGGACATTTTAAGAAAAAATGGTGGGTTGAACCTGGTTTTGTGGCTAGCCAAACCTCGCGCTTTTATGGCAATGTTAAATATAACACTAAAATGACAACATTACATGACAGGAATACAGTACAAATAAATGCAAGAACATTCAGGACAGAGAAATACACAAATAAACAATACAATAGTACATTTGGACATGCTAACCACAGAATAAAAACGAACACCTAAAACAACATAGGACAGCACACAAAAACAGCACAACAGAACCACGAACTGTCTTTCACACAACTGGATCAACTCCACAAAAGTGACGTCACAGGTCTAAAAATTTGATACAGTTCAAGATCAGGATTGTAACTATGTCATTTGATGTATTTTATAACAATTACAAGAATATTAATAAAGAATTGTGTTAGTAATTAGATAATTAGTTGAATAATCTAGCTATGTCGGTATTTCTTCTAAATCAAACTGAAAAACAAATAAATCGTGTACATATAGATGCTTTAAACTAAAATCTTATAAATGAACTTGGTGATTAATTATCTTTACTTTTACATACGAATAGAAAATAAAAAAATTAGAATGACAACTACAAACGATGAGACATTCAACAATATCCGATCAGAATTACAAATACAAGATCATAACTAAATACATGAATGTTGGATAAACAAATACCGTGACACGTCTTATAGCAATGCGAATTCACACTCAGCAATATACAGTCATATTCGGGAATAGGTCATGTTCGGTACTTAAAAGACCAGACAACGTAAATGGTAAACCACAATCTAAGACGTGGTAAAAATGTCCTTAGTTAGTTTAAACACAGACACATCGTATGGATCAACCAATTTGTGATGGTGTACATAAAATTTATGAGTGTCATTTTTAATCTTTCCTCCTCATAACTTTGTTGGAGCAGTTTGTGTGTAAGGAACACACTCCTGTATATGAAGTCCCTATAGTGTGAACATGCACGAGCATAACGTATCAACTGAGATATGTAAACACCATACCATGGGGCAGAGGGTATGTTACTGCTGAGAAATGGGAAATTGATATTTGGGAAGTTGAAATCGTCCCGTTTGTCATAGATTTTTAGTGTGAAGTCGTCCATCTGTGTCAATATTGAGGAAAAGATCAAGGTATGAAGCAGTCCTTCTAATATCAGTAGTATCCTTAATTTCAAGTTCACTGGGATATATGAGATGTAAGTATTGGCTGAAATATGGGTTATTCAGTGATAGGACATCATCAATATATGTAAAAGAGTTGTAGCATCATAAATAGTATAAATTATGCGTACCTTGTTTTTTGATCATCTCAACTGTATTTCTCACCACGGAAATTTGTTCTTTAAACGTATTTTCGTCTCTCCTAAGGACTTCAAGATTTTCCATATACATCTTTTCTGTTTCTATGTCCATGCAACAGGATTCTAAATGCTCAAATGTTGACACAAATTCATTCATTGCCGTTCCGAGGTATATTTCTAGCCTTCCAGATATGGCCTTGAAGATTGTAAAGTAATCAGATAATTCCTGATCTGTTACCAGTGTATTGCCCCGATGAAGAACTTCATTACGTTTTCTTCGAATACGCTCAATATCATCGCCAACTGTTAGCTCCAATGATGTCGGGTCTGCTGGAAAATCCCACCCTTGAGTTGGGGGAGGAACCAAATTTAGATTTCGAATTAACTTGTAGCATAATGATATATCTAGATTACTATAGCCATTTAACTGTGCACCAGTGATCTGTTTCCATTCATGTGCTCTTAAAGTCCGAGATAAAAATTTGTTTGCACTGACATGCATATACAACATGTGATGTGGCTCTTTAATGGTAAGTAGCTTCTGAAGAACGTTCGGTAGCTCACTTTGTGCTGCACATCCAAGACGAGCATAATTGGTAACTGACGATTTAGCTGTAGATGTACTAGCCATTTCACTGAAGTCGTAGTGCTATAGCTGAAATTTGGTTAATCTGTCAAATAATTCATAGTAAAGTTTTCGAAATCTTATCAATGTCTTTGGACTTTGAGGTTTTGATTTATATTCCGAACAACTATAAATTTAATAAAGAAAAAATTGAATTACTGTAAATTCAGAAATTATTGCGAGGTTTTTATTAATGCGAATAATGCGACTGGATGCGTATCGCAATAATAAGAAGTCGCATTATGATATCTGATACATATGTCTGTAGGCAGCTTTTCCAGAAATTGCAATAATCAATCTCGCATTTTCGTCCATTCTTTTAAAATCGCAATAATAAAAGCACGCAATAATTTCTGAATTTACAGTAGTTATAATAAGATCAAAGTCCAGCAACCGCATAAAATAAATGTATGATTATCATTAAACAGTAACTTTTATATTATACTTTATTTGACCACGTGCCATACTACCCTCGTAATGACAGATATGTTGTTTTGTGCAAAAAAAAAACGTTCATGTGAAATTACAGACAATATGGTAGTCACTGGAAAACATGATCAGAATTTTTTCCCTCGATTTACAAAAACGGAGATGTTATATGATTGCCAATGAAACATCTATCTCTCATCTAATAAATAAATACGGCGTAAACTACCACACATTGTAAAACAGGTCGCTTACAAAACTCGATTGATATTTATCGTTGACGTTGAAATATCAAAACACTTGCTTCGGACTTAAAAATATATTCAGACCTGTAATAATAGTTAATTTATGTATTCTACACAGCCACAAAATATATACAATATACACGAAGTTATCATTCAACAATACCGTACGCAGGCAAATTTTGTTCACGTAAATTTCACGTGAAAATCACGTGAATTTTACATGAAATTTTTCACGCGAGATTCACCTCAAACGAGCTTATACAGTCGACTCTTGTTATCTCGAAGCCAGCCGGACCAGAGAAATATTTCGAGATACCCGTAGTTCGACTCAAACGAAAACCGGAAGTTTGACAGACCAAGGGACACAACTCTTGCTTACCTTGGTAAAGCTACAATAAATCCGGATGAATATGGGAAGGGGATTGATATTCTGGTCTCATATCGATGGATTTGTATGTTATGGTCTTTCATTATTATAACAGTGTTTTAACTTATTTAATTATTTCTTTGAACAGTTACAATTTTTTCCTGTGGCTTTTATCCGAGAGAGTAATTTCCAATCGATCTTAGCGTTATTTAAGTCATTTAAATTTTACAAAATTTTTTATTCTCGGATACAAGAGATTTTAGAAATTTAGATTTAATTTTATTTTCTTTTATCTCAATCTTTCTTTTAAAGAAAAAATACAAAAAGATAAAAGATAAAAGACGCCTATTGAGTAGTTTTTATGTGATCACCAACGGCAGTCTAAATCCCCACTTTATACACATCCAAGCTCATCAGTGTAAATCACGATTAATTTAATTAATTTTTTTTGTAAACATTTAAATAATTTTTCATAAACTTTAACAATGTATCACTAATTATTTATCATGGTGATAAAAGATAATCTTAGGTAAACACTCGTGGAAATAGAATGTCATAAATCAATACCTAATTGGTCAGTGACCGGAAATTCAATTACACGTGTATTGTCAGATTAACTCTTCAATCCATTTAAATCCCGGAGGTCATGTTTTGACATATGTGTATTAGTTCGAGATAAATAATGAATTTTGAATGCTTTTGTTAACCTTGGGACCGTAAATTTAGTTCGACTCAACCGAAATTTTGACTCATCCAATTTCGACTCATCAGGAGTCGAAATACATATATTTATATGGAACAAAGTTCGGGACCACGAGAAAACTTCGACTCATCCAAAATTTAGAGTCAACCGAGTTCGAGACAACGAGAGTTAACTGTACATAAAACTCATGTGAAATTTTTCAAGTGTAAATTTACATGAATTTCACGTGAATCGAGCTTTCACGTGATATTCACGTGAAATTTTTCACATGAAATTAACGTGAATCGAGCTTTCACATTATTTTTTTTAAATGAAATTAAGGTGAATTGAGTCTCAATCACACAAATTTCACAGTATTTGAGCATATTTTAGATAAGTAAATACTTATCTCTAGTACACATTCTATTTTGATATATATAAATATTCTTCTTGGTCTTGACGATGTATTCATACTTCCATTCTATTTTACTTTCTCTTTGTATCTTAATTTTTCTTGGTCCTTAACAATACAAATAATATTTATTCATCAACTCCAACTCACAATATCTTCAATGCAGCAAATAAAATGCAATAAAACCAAGAAGGCAAGCAAATATCCAGGGCACCATAGTTCACTCCTAGAACATTTTTGGTTGTGTTCAAGTCTCAATATTTTTGTTAATTTGATGTATGAAAGGTGATTTATTTATAGATGTATGCACTGATGTATATTTCATTTTTAATATGTATGTATTATAAGTCTTTTTGTGTTCATCAGTTTTGAGACATTCCAATCACATTATGGACAAGTATTACTAGCAAAAGATGCCAATTCATCTTATGAGAGTTTTGAAGAAAAAAAGGTAGTTCACCCTGCCACATACTCATGTACTCTGGTCAATTAAAACAGATCATGACATATTGTTTAGACACCTGTCTATTGTTGAGGACTGTATGTTAACACCTTAATGCCTTTCAGGTATTTTTGTTGTTGTGTTACTGTCTGATTGATTTATACCTCATACTTCATTGTATTAATAAACTGAAATAGAAAGTTCTGTGAAATATATTTGATACTGTAAATTCAGAAATTATTGCGTCTGTTTATTATTGCGATTTTGTCATTTTAGACTAAAATGCGATTTAAACTTTTGCGATATTGAGAAAAATCCTTTTTAATTCATACAAAAAATTTCAAAATGCGAGTTTAAATTATTGCGATTATTACCATGTCGCATTTTTCGCAATAATAAAAACATGGCAATAATTTCTGAATTTACAGTATACCATATGGAAAGTCTTGCTGTTATCTACAACCATTTCCTTCCTATTTCATATATGGTTTTCTGTTTTTCATTTTACCACTGAATCAGTGATCTTAAAGTTAAGTCAAAAAGAAAATAAATGTTGACAAACAACAGGCATATACCATTAAAAGATCTCAAAGTTTGGCTTCACAATAAGCTAAAAATTCTTGTTATCTATATTTATATAAAATGCATTTTAAAACAAGCATTTTTCCATTTTTAGAGAGTAACTTTCATGTTGACACAATAATTTGAATTAGAATTGTATGATATGGATAATGCTGAAAGTACTTGTAGTTGAAAAAAAATATACACAATATTTAATTCCAGGTGTTTAGATTTCTAGAATGCACCACTCCCATATCATGACTACATGTTAGTAATGTTTAAGTGTTTTCTCCTGCATGTAATTGATACATGTATTTATATACAGGGCTTCCTTCATATATTTGCACTTATCCTTCTAAGATGTTGCTTCCATGATAAAATCCTGTAGTTGCATAATCAGCCATAAACTCTTGCTGTAATAAAAAAAAAACAGCATATATTATTTTGTAAAATATACATCAAATTAAATATTGCCTTACCATTCAAGCAAATATGATAACATCAATTTAATATTTAAACTTACCGTGTACATATATATATATACTTTTATAAATTGTGACTTGGATGGAGAGTTGTCTCATTGGCACTCATACCACATCTTCTTATATCTATGTATATAATCATGCATGTATATTGTGTGTCGGATTAACTGAAGCGGAATATTAAAATGTATTAATAGTTGTTGTTTGTTGCTGCACTACTTTTTGATAACCTCTGCTATGGAGGTTGTGGAGGTTTAAAAATAATAATAGTTGAAATTTGCCATGAAACCTGGAATTTGTAAACATTCACAGATGAAAATTAAAATGCTCTGATCATTCTGATGATATAAACCTATTTAATATTAATTTCATAAAATTCTGGCAAGAATTGTACACAAGAGCCCTAACAATGCAATTTTCCAAATAATTAATGTTTCCAAGGGGCAAAATTCTTTTAAAAATGAATGATTGGCACTGATTTCAAAACTCGTCAGACATTGTTGATATAACCTATCAAAATAAGTTTCCTAAAAATTTGACGAAGAATTGTACAAGACATGCAAGTGAGAGCGCTTCTAAGGCCAAAGGGATAGACTGACTCTACATATTTTTATGTCCCTACTGTTTTATGGTGCTTGTCCTAAAGAAATAAGAATAATTATAAGTTTACGATAAGTATCAAATAAACTTAACATTACCAATGATTCATGAAAATATACTGTCAAGCAAATATTAAGGTCAATTTCAGATAAACCAAGCCAGACAGACATGTGCACCTTACAACATGTACAATTATTGCATACACCAAACTAGAGGCTCCAAGGAGCCTGTGTCCCTCACCTGATATTTTTATTTACAATTGATGCATGAAATAATGTAACCCTTATACTTTTGCTTTAGTTTCAGAGATATAAGTCAAAAACTGCATTTTCCCTCCATGTTCTATTTTTAGCCATGTCTGCAATGTTTTTAAAAACTAGATACCCTAATGATGATTGTGGCCAAGTTTAGTTTATTTGTCTCTGTTGTTTCAGGAGAAGACTGTTGTGAATTAAAAAAATTTACGAAAAATTGTTAAATTTGACTTTAAAGGGCAATAACTCCTTATCAGGTCAATTGACCATTTTGGTCATGATGACTTATTTGTAGATCTTGCTTTGCTGAACATTATTGTTATTTACAGTTTATCTCTATCTATAATTATATTCAAGATAATAATCAATAAAATGCTCCGCAGGGCGCAGCTTGATACAACCGCAGAGGTCGAACCCTGAACAGTTGGGGCAAGTATGGACACAACATTCAAGCTTGATACAGCTTTGCATTTGGATTGTGATTAAATATTTGACACAGCATAGGTTTCTGACACAGAATGAATGTGGTCTAAGAACTTAAAAATTTTAAATTGGACATTCACCTATCATAGTCC